TGTTATCAGTCATAAATCTGGTTATTTTGTTAAAATACTGTATGTCACAGAAATAACCAAATTTTCTTGTCAAATGAACTCCCATCATATCTTTAAATATGGCCATTTTAAGTTGTTGTTTGCTTTATTTTGTTTTGTCACCCACAGACAGCTTTTGTTTTACTCTGATGCCTTCCTGAAATGCTTGCAAACAAATATGAAACCATCTTTTTCTCTACCTGATCCCTCCAGAATGTGGAGACTCTGATTGAGTGTTCTTACTTTTATGGCAATATAATTATTTCCATAAGTTCAATAAAAATCTGTTTCTCCTTACAAAAGGATACAGGAAAAATTGTTTATACTACCAAGACTTTGAGCAGAATGTCATACTTGAGAACTACGTGCACAGAATCTGGTTTAAAGAGCTATCGTTGACTTATGGAGTTAACGCTTACAAAGCCTTCTTGGAAAAATCAACTTAGTACCTGGCTTACAAGATTGCCAGCATTACAGGTGAGTAAGGAAGGTCACTTCATGGCAGGCCCAGGAATCACAGGCCATCTTGGAGACCTTGAAAAGAGAAGAATTCACCCAAATCCACAGATACTGAAGGTGAAACCTAGTGGTAAGTTCCTGTCATGGCTTCCTAGCATCAAGACGCTTTTAAAAGTCTAATCCGAGATTTCTTATGAAAAGTTCCAACAAAGCAAACTCAAAAAAGCCAATGCGATGAATTCTTGCTACATTTATGTAAATAATCAGGCCAAACTTAATGAGACTACACTTATTTTGTAACTAAGAATGGCCTTACTTTGGTTTTTTTGATCAAAAAGGAGGGTGACTGTAGAGAGAAATTTATGTCAGTGGAAAACTGTAGCGTGCTATAGTGGGTTCTCAATTCTTCTAGTTTTCTCCAACATCTGGCTACAACTCTCCAAACCAACATTTCCAGTTTTTCTCACACCCTCCTTACTTGGTGCCATGAAGAACTAAAACCTGACTACCCAGATCCTTATTGGGACTATCTAAAGAACTTCTCTGAGCTGAAGCTGGATGCTTCCATGCTCTGCTCCAAGAGATAACCATGACTATGACACTGATATCTATGCCATCATCAGAGACATCCAAACTACAAACCAGAAAATTCCTTGGATTGCCACTGCCATCCTCACTTATTCCATCTAAAGATGCTTTATACTCAATATCTAGAAATTATCTTGACTGGCTGCCCTCTGGACTCAGAAACTGGGTTTCCAAACATTAGTCTTTTTTTTTTTTTTCATAAGAATCCCTGTCATTAAATGCCTGACTGCTCACACCATCCAGTAAATATCCTCCATTACCAAGTCCCAACAGATAGTTCACCTGGCCCTTAATGAACAAAAGGTGACTAAGGAGAAATGGGCTTATACTGTTCAGAGGAAAGAAAAACGTCTCTTCTTTACTTGAACAAGAGGAGGGACTGACAAAGAGTCTTTCTTTGACCAAACTTTGGTCAAGCTCTTCTGAACTCTCTTCTCAACTAGGCCCTGACTTTGTGGCTTCTGTATTCATCTCTGCATTGTCCAATTTTAGCAAGAATTCTGCTAAGTCAGTTTAGCTACAATTTCCCATTTTCCATATCTGATCACTCTCAATATCTGATCAGATTCCTCATCCCCCACCATCCCCAGTTGGTGTCTGATCACCCTGGCCTGCCATGAGCAAGAATCCTGTGTGGTCAATTTAGCCAGGATCCCCTGTCCCCTGATGTTTCCTCTTAGTAATTTTCCATCCACTGCCCCCAACTGTGCTTCTTGGCTATAAATTCCCACTATCATTGTTGTATTGGGTCAAGCTCGATCTCTCTCTCTCTTGAATAAGTTTTTCTGTAACATGATCCCCAGACATGTAAGAACCACTCTGTAGCACTCCTATCATCTCACACAGCTCTCTCCATCTCTTCCACTTCTCTTTTTCTCTCTTCATCCAAATACACAGGCTGCTCAGAAAACAAGAGAGAGACCTCCCCAGTCACACTCGCTGCGAAGAAAAACCCACTCGCTTGCCAGTTACTGGTGTGGGCCTGGGCCCGTTCAAGTCCTGGGCAGGGCCTGGCACACTTGGGCTGCCCTGGAAAAACATTTTTCAAAATGCTTTTGAATGAAAATGATGTGGTACAGTTCTTGGTGGGATGAATAGAGGACTTTTATTTATTATCCAGTCTTAGTATCCTGACTTATGCTAACTTAGGATTTCTATTGATTGATAAGGTTCATGCGGGAGTTGTCATAGTACAATCACCCAGCTTCTCCCAAATATTTCCTGCTCCCTGTCTGGGTCTCACTGGAGACTGGTTCTAGACAGAATCCAGCCTCACCCTCCATGTTCTCAGGTTAGCCTTGGAAGCAGGGTATGACCACCTGCAGTGAAGTCACACGAAAGGAGAGCAGCATCCTTCTCCTAGGGACATCATGAGGCCAGGCCTCCATGCTGACACTTGTTTTGAGAAGGCCCCAGGGGGATCTGGGGAAAGCAGGAGGACATCTTAGTTTTTTCAACCTATAGATGTAATATAGAGGTAAGGCATGAGAATGAGAAACAAAGTTTATCAAAATCACAGAGCTCTTCAATTCTCTCACAGAGAGACACTTCTTTGACTAAAGCTCAGACACAATTTTAAAGTGGTAAAGCAACCATAAAGATCTGAGTAGGCTCTCAGTTGGACACCAGAGCTACTCTATCCTGAGAGCAGTCATGGATGAGCACTCTCATTCATTTAGGGGCAGGGTGCCCCATGCACCACCCACTAGGGCCGCCTCACAGGCTCCTTACCTGAAGGCCTTCAGTGCCAGGTCTTTCTGTAATGCTGCTGGTACCCTGTATGTGGTCAGTGGCTCAGCTGAGGGAGAGGGTGTTCTGGGAAGATGCAGGGAGTGGGGATCTCCCCAGAAGGACCCAAGAAAACAAAATATGAAAAGACTACCAGTGACTGCAAGGAAAACTACCCAATTTCCTAAAATTTCAGTTCACCCAGATTATCAACTAAAGACACTAATGAAAAAAATACTTTCACTTAGTTCTCTGGATGATTTAATTTCTTTTTGAAAAATATTATCAGAAATATTTGAACTGGCCAGAGCTTCTTCCTCCTACCCTTTCTCCTCCTCCCCTTCCCTTCTCATCCCCCTCCTCCTCTTCCTCTCTTTCCCTTCATCCTCCACCCCTGCTCCTGTTCCATCCCTCTCCTCTTCCACTCCTCTCCTCCTCCTCCTCTTTTCCTCCACCTCCCCCCACTTCCCCAGCTCGATTTCTGGGATGCCTCCTTTCCCAGGATCCATCACTGACACTACTGCTCTGAGCAGGACTGGGAGCTTTAAGAGTTTTCATGCTTGAATGTTCTAATCTAATGTCCATTCTAAGGAGGCTCTGGACTTCCAGTTCCAGCTGGGGTATGTAGGGAGCTGGAAATACTCTCTACAATCACTCTTATAACCAGAAAAGGCTGGGCAAATGTAAGTTAATGACTTATTCCATCAAGAATGAGGTTGCACCACAAACACTCAACCTGAAATCTAGAGTGAGATAGGTGACTGTGAGGAGGAAAGGGGCCAAGCATTTGCTTCCCTGGGGTGATGCTACCACCACACACAGAAGCAGGTAAGATTAAACCAGAAAATTTTTAAATTGTTCGAGGTCAAGTGTGGGCTAGCATGAGAGTGGGAGACCCTGGGGGCCATAGAATAGGGGTGTTCACATCTTCTTACAGGCTTTTCCTCCAGGAACCCCAGCAGGTGCTCACAGGGAAGATGGGGAGACTCCCGAAAAAGCATTAATTCACTAGGGGAGCACATCAAATCTGGTAGCCTGAGGGCACAATGGAACCCCAGCAGCTGGGGGCAGGTAAGAGGGGAAAGTAGCTCTACCCCTGAGGAACAGTGCAGGGCCTGGCAGACAGCTGGAGAGAGACTGAGCAATTCCAAGGGTCTGGGGCACCAGAGGTTACCATAGCAACCACAAACTGCAACTTGTGACTAGATTTACACAAACCCTCAACTAAAGCCCACAGAAGTTAAGATGTGCTCATCTCCAAGCTTAAATGCTGCTTACCTCAGTGCTATGGACTGAATGTTCATGGCCCTCCAAGTTCCTATGTTGAAGCCCTGCCCCCCAGTGTGGCTGTATTTGGAGACAGGGCCTCTAAGGAAGTAACTCAAGTTAAATTAGGTCATAGGATGGGGCCCTGATCTGATAGGATTGGTGTCCTTATAAGAAGAGATACCAGAGAGCCTTTCTTCTCTCTCCACACTCACACACACACACACACACTGAGGAAAGGGCCTGTGAGGACATAGCAGGAAGGCAGCCATCTGTAAGCCAGAAAGAGAGCCTTCATCAAAAACCAAATCAGCTGGCACCTTGACCTTGGATGTCCAGCCTCCAGACTGTGAGAAATAAATCTCTGTTGTTTAAGCCCCCCAGACTGTGGTATTTTGTTACGGCAGCCTGAGCTGACTAACACTCCGTATCTACTATCCTTTACAACACATCTGGCTTTTAAGTACAAATTATGAGGCCTAGAAAAAGGCAAGAGAAAACATGGTATGAAGAAACCAAGCAATGATCGGACTCAGATGGTACAGCCAATGAAAGAACCAATGAACTTAAAGGTAGGCCAGTAGAAACCACCCAAGCTGAAATGCAAGAGGGAGGGGGGGATGTTGGGGGGACAGAACAGAGTATCTTAAGAGCCACAGAACAGCCAGGCCCTAAGTTGAATGTGCCACTCAGCTGCCATCACCCTTCTGTGGGAACATCACCACCAACCACCCATCTCAGTCTCACTTGCACTCCTGTCCCCTTCTGTTCCAAGGCCTCATCTTTCATCAAATGTCCTGGAGGAACCAATATGCACAGGGAGGAACAGTGATCGCCTATGCCGCAACCTTCAGCAACAGCTAGAATAGTTCTTGGGTGTCTCTTCACTTTGTGAATCTCAACCATGGACAGCTGTCTCTCTCAGTGTATGGTATGGATACAGTAGCTTTCCAGCGGTGACACAGCCAACAACTGCCAGAACTTTCCTTGATCTGGATACAGGCTAAACAAAATCTGTAATAAGCAGAAATATTTAATGATGAGAGCAATAGGATTTTAAAAATTTGATAACAGCTGAACATAGAGGTATGACAATGATGCTGATTGACGTATCCAAAATTCACCAGCTTACTATAAATAGCTTTTCTGAGATAGTAAAAGAAAATTCTAATTCATTATACTATTTTCCACTACAATGGACCTTGATTATTAATATTGGCCAATTTTAAGGACTAAATACCTGGTCAAAAAATTAAATCATCAGAGGTGGGTAAACGTGGTTTTCCCATACTAGAGAGTAGGAAATACAACCTACATGATGGTGGGAGCACATGTTTGTGGAATTTGCAGAATACTTTATACACCATCAGAAAGTAAATTAAAGTGAAAATAAGATGACAGATTATAGAAGTTCAAAACAAATTCCTCAAATTCTATTTTGGACATATCCACACATCACCACAGAGCTCAGGTCAGCTCTCAGAGGACCAGGGGAGACCTGGCCCATGCTGACCTCCTCCTTTGAAATCCTAGTGCACCATACACCAGGCCTTGCTAAGCAGCAAGAGCTTCAGAACCACACAAGTGTGTGAACAGGAAGTAGAGAGGCAAATTGGTAGCCAAAAAAGTAAAATCTTCAAGTTTTCAGAATTCAATGTAATTGTTTTCTGTTTCATGAATAGATTTCCTTTCTCTCTGGAGGCCACTGTTCCCCTTAGTTGTGGATTATTAAAAAGTTACCTTACTCAGTTCAACTTAGCCAGTATTTACTTCATGCACCACCCTTACTCAACCACCAGATATAACATTGCTCTCTATATGCCACATTGAGAAGGGGAGACTCTTCTCACACACAATCCTGCGCATACATAAAGCCCCAATCCCCATGCCCACTGATGCAGATAACGAAGCCAAGTATTTGCAGCTGTACATGGTCGTGCTCATAGCTTCCAGTCACGCAGGTTGCCCAGCATAGCCATCACCACAGGCTGCTTGCATAGAAGAGCCACAGGCACACACTCCCTGGAGTCCACACAGCACAGTCATGAAAATACCACTCACACACCCTATCCTTGCTCACAATCTCACACTCTGTCACAGCAGCATGTACAATGATCCCTAACAATGGCACACACAAACTATCCATATGCCAATGCTAAAAATTGATACACACCCAGAAATAATTCCCCAACCACAGATGACCTCAAAATGGCCACAGAGCACAAATGACCCACATGTCCCATACGGGCATGCACACACACAAACACACAGCTGGGCACAGGGGACCTTACTCCTGTCTGCCCACATACAGACACATGCAGCCAAGTACAAGGGATCTCACACCTGCATGCACACATGGAGACACATAGCCAGGCACAGGAGACCTCACACCCACATACACCATACACACACACACACATAGGTAGACACAGGGGACCTCACATCCATATGCACACATACAGACACACAGCCAGACACAGGGGACCTCACACTCATTCATTTGACAAATATATTTTGAGTGCCTGCAATGTGATCCTGGCTAGGGCTACATCAAAACACATCAAAAGGCACACTCAGGTCACCTCCAGAGCTCTAGCTTTGCAGCCCTCCTAAGGATATAGGGGCAAGTAAAATGGGAGCAGCCTTCAGGGAAGGTGCAAACACAGAGCTTTACTCCCTCTCAAACAGGGTGGCTGAGCTGGGCAGAGGCCCAGCATGCCATCTCAAAGAGACACTGAGACGTTCCTGGGACCACTCATGATTTCCAGACATGTCTCAACACAAATAAAGAGTGTTTACTGCATATGGTTGAAAAGTGAATTCGGTAAGCTATATGAGGTGGGAAGCAAGGCCCAGGGGGCAAGCTAACTGCCTTCTAAGGAGCAATGCCAGGTCTCCAGGGCTTCTGTTGTGTGACTGGGGACAACAGCAGAGGAGTATTGCTAAGGACAGGCCTCCCTTGCCACCCCCAGCCCACCCAGTGCCTCAGCATCTCCTCCAAAGAAAGATGTAAGCACCATGCTTCAGATGCCCAAGGCATCCGGAGACTCTGCTAAGCTGACAGCAGACCTCGGGGACCACGGTACTCACAGAGCACACCACCACGAAGGCAAACAGGCCCGCGACTTTCAGCCACTGTACACAGCGCCTGCAAGAGAAAAGGTAGGCCCCAAGTTGTACCAGACATGTCAAACCAGATACCTTTATGAAGCCTTGGGTAACCTCCATCTCAAAGTACATGCTTGGAATTCTTTCCAGAACATTGTATGAAGGATGACAGTGCTGACCTTTAAACCTACAGCCTCAAGAAAAGCAGCTTGGTGGAGGTTATGGAGAGGAACAAAGTTAACCTCAAGTGTTTGTACATGGCTTCTTGCCAGAGATGCTAAAGTTCAAGATTTGGGGTTCTTCATTACCTTTTAAAGGGTCCAGTTTCTTGAAAACAAGTCTAATCTTGGCTCTCAGATTCCTATTTATCAAATATTTTCCCCTAAGTTTTCTGGAAGGTGGGAATATGGATTTTATCATCAAATATAAAGGCACTGACTGAGACATGACCAAATAATTGAAGAAAGAAATTGCAATACCTGCAACTGGTTGTACTAGCAGAGTCTTTTAAGAATTCCTTAAGAGATAATTTAATAGACAATCAGGACACATGCTTGGCCCCCTCTGAGGACTCTTGATGGTGTCCTGGACCAGTCACCATTATACACTTCTTAACCATGGCCCTCAGGCCCTAAGTGAACCTGAGCCTGGCCTTCCTTAGCAACCCCTCAGCCCTATCTCTGCTCATATCACCTCCCTGGGGTCCACCAGATCTCATCTCCTAATGACACAACCACTACCAAACCCTGGGTGTGCTGGCCACTGACCACTCCTTGAGATCAGACAGCAGGGTGTCTGTGCTCTGTCCCTTCACATAGAAGGGCGCTGGTACATACCCTCTGCTTGACACGTTTGCAGAATGAAGGAAGAAAGTCTATGTTGGGACATCTTTTTCAAAACCTTTCTCATACTTTCAAAATGGCAAAACTTTGTTTTGCATTCTCTTAGATTTAACAAATTTGATAAATAATCATTTCATACTTCCAAATTATGATTCAGTAGCTCCTATTTAAATGGGAATCAAAGTGACACTTTTTTAAAGCATGTAACGTTAATTGAATTATTCTAAATACAAATTTCTTTCTACATAACTGACATATACAGCAGAGCTGACAATCAAAAATACTTTTACAAGTTTCTTCAATGATCATGCATGGTACTTTCTAGATATGTTAAAAAGAATAACACTAAGTCTTTTAGTTCAGTGGCAAGCTCAACACAACTATTCCATGAATCACAGAAGATAAAACAACCACTGAAGGTAAAGTCTCAAATGTGCTTCAATCTATTTTCCATGGTGTGAGACAGTTAAGGGACCTGGCATCCTCTGGAGCTGTGAGCCAGCCAGCTGGGGAAGAGCGTTAACAGAGTCAGGACTTACCATCCCGGTGACCCATGGGGCCAGATCTCTGTTCATACACTTTCACATAGTTCACATAATTTCATAGCAGATTCATCAGCCAAATATCTGACATACCTATGAAGGGGACTGAGAACCAGTCATTGTGAAGAAGCTACACATGGCTGGGAGGCAGGGTGGGAAAAGACATCACGTCAAGCACCGGTGGGGCATCTGGAGTAACATCGCTGGCCCCAGCTCAGCTGACAAGCTGCATGACCTTGCGCAAAATCCTCATCCTTCCCAAGATACCTTCCTTCATCTACCTTTTAGGATTGCCCAGAGGATCAAGAGGACAACCAATGGTAGGCCTCTGGGGACAGACAGGTGCACTTTGGGCATGCCCTAATCAGCCCTTCAAACAGCTTCAGAAAAGACCGGTCCCCTTATGTGGAGAAATAATAATGCTAATATTTTATAGCCGCATAGTGTCTTCTCATCTATCCACAGGCTTTCACAAAGACCATCTTTGTGGAAGCCCACAGAAGGCTGTGGAGCAAAGGGACACTAGCTGATAAGGAGACAGTTGCACCGAGGTGCCTGGCTCTGATGGTCCCTCAGCTACCTAGGGGCAGATCTGGAACGGGGACATGGTGGTCCTGGTCCCCAGGCCTTATTCTGTCCCTGACAATGTCGCTTTCACACACATTGCTCTCAACAGAACCTTCAAATAAACATACATGTGGAAGCCTAGTGGACAAAGCAAGGGAGCGAGAATGCTCCTGTTCCAGCTGGCATGGGAAGTCCAGCACAATGCCATCAGTTCTCCCACATGCACGCGTGCCCATGGCCTTCCCCCACACCACCCATGTGCAGCCTCAGGCTCCCAGTTCCCACCAGGCACTACCGTGCAGAAGCTTCAGGATGCGCCCTGGCCCTAGAGCCAACCCTTCTAATAAAGTGCTTCATCACTAACTACTAATGACATCAGTTTCCAAACACCACGGGGACTGCTGAAGCAAATCGATGCCATCTGCAAACCTCATGGCCATAAAGACCCCCACCTCACAAACAGGAAGGAGGAGTGTAGGCCGTTAGTCATTTAGGTTTGCAATTGGGCTTTCTTGGAGCCTCCTGGGCTCCATGGATTCACAGCAACACCATCATGTCTTCCAGGGCCTGGAGAAAATGTAGATACCCTTCCAGGAAAAGTGCAGCCAGGCAAATGTGGAAATCCTTCTTCCTCACCTTCACCCTGTCAGTTGGGAAGGAGGTAGTGAGGGCAAGACCCCCAGCCTGGTCTCAGGCAAGTGGGATGTGCTGAGTGACTATCACTCTGTGCCAGTGTTGGCCCTCCAAGGCTTCCTACCTCAGTTTTGAAAGACGGAACCTGATGAAAGCACCGTCCAGAAGCTCCCCCTTCTCCAGAGAGGTGGATCCAGATGAACCAGTTGACTCTCTGCTCAGCAGGGATCTTGGCTCCCACTCAGCTGAGCTGTTTTCCCATGATTCTTCAGCAATGATAAACTCTGGATGGTAAACAGGCATGCACCGTGACCTGCAAAGCAAGACTTTATGGTTATTTTCACGGCAACAGTAGCATCTCCAAAACAAGATTTTATCTCAGTGGTGACATGCAAAATGTGGAATCAATCCTGGTTTTTAAAAAGATCACAGACATTGCAGTGTTGTCAAACTGGTGGGAATGGGTCAGTCTTGACATCACAGAACACTTGGTTCAGGGAAAATCTTCTGGGGTCACTCAAGTCTTCAAAATTAATTGTAGACCTTCAAGAAACATCAGCTTGTTCTGAGTTTCTAACTTTCCAATAAAGCTGTTTCTGCTTCAGATCAACTCCAGCTCATTTCAGTATTTGCCTTCTCTTTGAATATGCTGGGGTTCTCAATACATAGTTCTGTTATATTCATCCTGAAGGAGAGTGAGTGGTGTAAGCCTTTCTTCGTCTATATAGATATCTTTCTATATCTAGGAGCTATAGGGAAGAGGGTCTAGCTAGCTTTCCCACCCAAAATCCAGCGAGCATGAGCAGGAGTGGGGAACATCAATTCCAGTCTAGATGGGTCCAGGAATCTGACCTATGTCTAGAAGGATGAACCAAAGTGAATGATAAACTTTTATCAAAATTACATTTGGGTGCATCCATTTACTGGTTGAGTCCCTGAGTTACTGAGCAATTCCCTCAGTACAGATGTACTTGAGTCTAGTAAGGTTGCACCAGAGCCCAGAATTTGCATGTATTGCATGGAATACTCATGGGATCACAATATTAACATAACAACAGTCATGATCTGTAGAAACAAGTGATGCCACTCAAATCCAGCTAACTCAATAGGACACTATGATTCTCCTCAACACTTATCACTATTTTAGAACTGGTTTACAGCAAGAAAAAAAATTGTCTTATTCAGAGGATGAAGCCGAGAGACATAAATTAGACTGTGTAAAACCAATATGTAACAAGATAACAAATGATGTTTCCAGTGTGCAAACTTTGAAAATAATCAATAATCTTTTCTAACAATGTTGTAACTGCAAAATACTCAAATGTATGAGTAATTATATCACAACTCCCTCAACTTCTGAACAAACACAACTGTAGCCAAAATTAGAACTAAGGAAACTGTTTTCTTATACGTAGAAGGAGGAAAGCTAATGTCAGTATTTCTAGAGCAGTGCTATGCAAGAGAACTTTCTATGGTGATGGAAATATTCTCTACTCTGTCCAGTATGGCAGCCACAAGTGCTCATTGGCCACTTGAAATATGCAACTGAAGGACTAAATTTTCAATTTTATTTAATTCGAATTAATTTCACTTTGAATAACCTCATGCAACAAGTGGCCATCATGCCAGTCAGTACAGATGGAAGGCATGCTCTGACACTGGTACCATTAGCTGCACAGTCCTGCCCTCAACACCCTGAAAATGACACACTCTCTTGTGAAAATATGTACATCAATGGATGTTATCCTAATAAGCCATTTGTTCAAATTAAAACTTCAACAAAATAAAGTTGGCAAAAAGTAAAGCATTAAAAAGACCTTCCCACCACCAATACCTCAATTAGATTCCTGCAAAAAAATAAAATAAAATAAAAAAGGAAAATGCTTTGTAAGAAACCTGATCTATGTTCTGCTCTTCTGAAATGGTTTTTGTAACATGAGGCACAGTTCAGTATCCTGGGACATGTCTCTGTGCTCCACATGCCCAGGAAAAACACTTATACATTATTGGTTTTCCAAAGAATCATGAGTTCTAAGGCCTTAACAGTTTACCAAGTAATTCAAAGGAAAGCATAAGGGAATAGATGTTTGAAGTGTTTGTTTTCAGTTATTGATTAGGAGAGAGAGAGGAGAATTAAGTTATCCCCCTGGTGGCAGGGGCTATGATCTGGGCACTGAGACACGGGATGAAGAGTATGCAGGCTGGCAGGCATAACCATGGATAATACAATGGCAAGTTCCAAAGAAGAGCATGAACGCAGTGTTTGAGAGCACAAGAGAAAAAGTATCGCTTCCTAGGGGAGTTGGAGGGAAACCAAGGCTTCACAAAGGAGGTGCCATTTGAGCCCCTTGTATTTGAGTGGGACTGCCCTGGAGAGCCAGAGAGGGGAGGATGGCTTGTCAAAGGGCTCCCTGGGAAGTTTTGGAGTGAGACACAACTTGTCATCAGGAGTTACCTTGAGGGAGCCAGATTGCCCTTGCAATGGGAGGTGATAAATCTAGATTCCCACACCCCTTCCAGATCCTGGGAATTCAAGTCTTTAGAAAGTGAAACCAGGAACCCACATGGCATATGAGCACCCCCAGAGAATTCAGATGCACCCTAAAGTATTAAACACCCCCCTCCAAGTTATCAACAGGGCTGGGGAGTGGGTGGGCAAGTTCTCAGAGGCTACAGGAGGGAGGCAAATTCAGGAGACACGGCAGTCCACCTGCCGATGCAGGTGCACAAGGTCAGCGGGCAGGAGAGGAAGGGTCCACGATGATGTCACCAAGTTCGTAATGTGTGGGGAACCAGGGAACACCAAGCAGGTGGCTCACACTTCCAGAAGGTTGTCTGCAGAAGGAAGAGGAGATGAGGCTGGAGGCCTGGACCAGGGCCCTTCATCCTGGTGGAGAGAGTCTGTAAGGAAGTTATCCTCCAGATCAGCTCTGCTTAGCAATTCCAGAACCACCCAAGTTTGTCCCCAAAAGGACCTTCAAACTTGCAGGAAGTGGAATTTTCCTTTAAATCATACATTTTTCAATCTCATCGCTGTTGACATTTAAGCCAGATAATTCTTTGTTGTTGGGAGTGGTTCTGTGCATTGTGGGATGTTTACCAGTACCCCTGGCCTCTATCCTTAAGTGCCAGTAGCACCACTCCCCCAGTTGTGACAATAAAAAACATCTCCAGACAGTGCCAATGTCACCCCTGGTTGAGAAGCCCTGACCTGGAGAGACAGCCTGTCAGATCTATGCGTACACATGAGTGTGCATTTGGGCAATTTAATCATTGCAGGGTTATGCTCAAGATTATTTGGAAATTCATAAGCCGCAGAATACAACCAGTAGAATCATGAACATCTACTACCTTGAATTGACAAGAATCTGGCAGAGACAAAAGACATTAGGCAAAAATTCATACCTCAGGAAGAAATTCTCCAACATAAGTGCCAAGGGCAATGCTCAGACATTTCTTAATTTTATAAGAAGGGAAAGAAAACTCACCCTTTCTCTTGTGAGGAATTCCTCAGCAAAGGAGTATTTTCTGTAAAGCAGAGGTCTTTAGACCCGGAGCTGAAGAACTGGATGAATGGAGAGTGAGACCTGAAAGACACAGTGAAGGAAGAGATCACCAACACAGAAATGAAGAATGCCTGCACCAGTAAGTGGGGGCTAGGTTTAAGAACATGCACAAGCTTCAGTGATAAATTTTACCGGGAAATTTTACTAAAGGTATATATGAATTCTAATAAGCTGGAGTTTTAGGAAAGACAGTCAGAAACGACTCTCCTCCCCAGCATAAATCAGAATGCAAATGCAAAGAAGAAACTCACGTAGGAGACCAGATGCTGTGGCGTTCATCCTTTTAGGCTCACTTGAGCCTTAACAGTGGATTCCAGCCACCTTTGCCTTTCTAGGGAGAACTTTTCATCAAGAAAACTATTCAGAGTCTGATGGGCCCTTTCATACTCAGAAAATTGTATTTCCTAAGATCACAATATTTAAATACCACACATCTAAAATATCCTAATGGCTTCCCTTGGGAGAACAAGGAGCAGAAGTCAGGGCCAGTGGAGTCATAATAAAATGATAACCAGAATGGCAGGGAGGGGGCTCTCAGGGGGACAGAAGCCACAGCTGAAGAAAAGCAAAGGTTGACACTTCATGGGATGCCCCTCCACTGTGTTGGCTGGCCTGTCCACTGGAGAAAGGGCCACCATAAACTTAGCATCCAAGTCAGGAGCTATTCGAGAGCGAAATAATTGCACAGGAATAACAGAGCCCACCAGCATATATGGTCACCCTCATTAAAGGACACATGATGTTTAAAAGCAACTAGTTTTTCATGAAAAGTTGCAGAAATCATTTTCATTCCTAGTTATTGGGAATATGTCATTTTATAAGGTGGTACATTGCCTTTCCTAAAGGAGCCCAGGCCACGTAGAGCTGCTGTGGATGCCGTGAAACACTCACCTGGTGAAATAACAGTAATTCAGATCATAAATGCAAAGCAAAAAGAGAATTTTAGGAAAATATTTCCACCTACTTTCCCTTTCTCGTTCAAGCATGCACCTGTGACATAGACAATAAGACTCTGGTCTCATGAATGAACAAAACCAGGGCACCTGAGCTATGTCTAACAACACCCACCATGTCATGATCAGAAAAGGAGTCTGTCTCAAGCCAGCAAGTGTCCTCTGGGCACCACCTCTGGGCAGCCCTGGGCACTTCCTACAGGGAACACAGGTGACTGAGGACTCCGTCCTCAGGTGTTTTAACAACCAGTGGAGGGCAGCATGGCAGCAAACAAAGTATACAGCAGACTGCCTAACTAGGACAGATGAGAGTGGAGAGGTAGAAGATTAATTCTGCCTGAGGGATTTAATTAGTATACTTTTAGCTCTTGAAACCAGCTTGAACAATTAACTGAGCTTTTTAAATTTTCATCTCTCCTAACTGTAAATCCAGAAAGACCTCAGGTACATTTAAATAAATGTCTCAATGAGTCCCCAAATATCCAGGTATTTTCCATCACTCTCTGGGGTGGTTTGTTAACATAGCATTACTGGGAGAGCTGACTGTTACAGTAAACTTACATTATTTAACAATCCTGAGCTTCTATTTTCTCACATGTATAATACAGATTAAGAGGGAAAAAAAGAAAAGCTCAGTATTGTTGCACTAAATAAGGAGATGTAAATGGAAAGCATAAAAATAGAGAGTGGCTACTGATTCAGTTTTTCCCATTAGACTATGAGCTCCTTATGGATGGCTGCCATGTTATTCCCATCTTATTTTATCTGGTGCCTTAAGTAGCACCCAGTTCAATACAGGTTCTTCATAAATACCATGGACACTGGTGGGGGCTATTGAGGTGCATCCCTTGGGTTGTTAGCCCAGGGGTCTGCCACACCCACTAAAGCACAGATTTAATCCAGTTCAGCCAGGGCAGACAACCCACCCTAGGGACTGGCCCCACCTAACAGCAAGCCCTCAGGCTACTTTTCAGCCTGCATTGACTGAGTGCCTTGATCCTCGACAGGCAGGCAAGTGTGTCTGCCTCTGTGGGGCAGGGCTTGTGTGAGGACCAGCTGAACTATGGGGGGTATTGGGGGAGGGGCGAGGGGCTCTGCAGTGTGGTGTTGGGGTATGCTCCAGGGGGTTGAGAAGTGTGCACGGACCAGAACTGTGTTGACAGTGTATGTGGTCTGGTGGGGGGTGAGGCTTATCAGCGGCAGAAGACTTGTGCTTCACAAATAGCCATAAAAAGGATCGGCGCCACCTTCCAAAGCATGAAACAATTGAGTGTCCCCATGCCAAGGGTTAGCCCCACTCAGCTGCACTCCTAAGAGAACTGACAACAGCCTTGCTGGCCTCAGGCCTATCACAACTGTACGCCCCAGAGCCTAGCAACCAGCTACACTGGGTACCAACCCAATTAAGAGGACAATTGCAATAAGAGTGTGCTGATAAACTTTGTAGCCAACAGTGCTGAGGCCCACCAAACCGGATTTCCAAACAGCTGGCCAGGGAAGGAAAGATCAGAGTCCCTGGGTACCTGCAGTGGGAGCAACCCTCCACAGCAGAAGGACACAAGAAGCCCATAAAGGGGTCACTCCTGGTTCTTGTGGACTGGTGACGAGAGGGAAGCACACTGCTGGGCCTCATAAGGCATCTCATACATAAGGCCACTTCTCCAAGATCAAGAGACATAGCCGACTCATCTAGTACAAAGAAAATAGCACCGAGAAAGAGGCATAAGGAGGAGGCAAAGGAATACTTTCCAAGCAAGGGAACAGTACAAAACCCCAGAAAAAGAACAAAGGGAAACAGAAACTAGTGACCTACTCAACAAAGAATTCAAACAAAATATAATGAGGATGCTCACAGATATGCGGAGAAGAATGGATGAACACAGTGAGCATATCAGCAAAGAACTGGAAGATATTAAAAAAAACAAATCAGAAATGAAGAATACAATACTCGAAATGAGAAATTCACTAGAGGGACTCAATAGCAGAGTAGAGGAAGCAAAAGAACGGATCAGCAAGCTAGATGAAAGAATAGAGGAAATCACCCAAGCAGAAAAGAAAAGAGAAAAAAGCATTAGACAGAATGAGAACAGTGTAAGGGAACTCTGGGACAATATGAACCATGCTAACATTTGGATTATAGGGGTCCCAGAAGGAGAAGAGAGAGACAAAGGGACAGTAAATTCATTTGTCGAAATAATAGAGGAAAATTTTCATCACCTGAGGAAGGAAAAAGACATCTAAGTTCAGGAAGCACAGAGAGCTCCAAACAAGAGAAGCCCAAAGAGGCCCACACCAAGACATATTATAATCAAAATGTCTAAAATTAAAGACAAAGAGAGAATCCTAAAAGCAGCAAGAGAAAGGCCACAAGTGACATATAAAGGGAAGCCCATCAGGCTATCAGCGGACTCCTCAGTCGAGACCCTATAGGCGAGAAGAGAATGGCATGACATATTTGAAGTGCTAAAAGGAAAAAACCTACAACCAAGAATACTCTATCCATCAAGGTTGTCATTCAGAATGGAAGGAGAGATAAAGAGCTTCCCAGACAAGCAAAAACTAAAGGAGTTTATCAACAAGAAAGCAGTTCTGCAAGAAATGCTGAAGGGACTTATTTAAGTGGGAAGCAATGACCACAAATACAGATATCAAAAAAAAAAAAAAAACCCAAAACAACAACAACAAAAAACAGGCAATAAAATCAATTGTATGGTAAAAGTATAGTAAAGGCAGCAGATCAACTACCTGTGAAGATAAGACGAAGGCTAAAAGACAAACGTACTAAAATCACCTATTTCAATGATAAGAGGGTAATGGATAGACAGACACTAAACAAAAGACCATATATGATGTGAAAAACATATAATGTGGGAGGAGGGGAGTGAAAAACTAGAGCTTTTAGAAAGAGGTCAAGCTAAAGAGTCTATCTACTCAATATAGACTGTTATATACATAGTATATTAAATAGGATCCTCTTGGTAACCACAAACCAGAAACCTATAACAAGCAGGAAAAAAGTAAGACAAACGAAATCAAACATATTACTAAAGATAGCCATCAAACCACAAGGGAAAAGTGCAAGAGAAAAAGAAAGGAACTGAGAAGAGCTACTAGAACACCCCCCAAAAAAGAAAAAGTGACAAAATGGCAATATATACATATTTATCAATAGCTACTTTAAATGTCAATGGACTAAATGCTCCAATCAAATGCCATAGGGTGGCCAACTGGATAAAAAAACAAGATCCATGTATATGCTGCATACAAGAGACACACTTCAGACCTAAAGACACTCACAAACAGAAAGTGAAAGGATGGAAAAAGATACTCCATGCAAATGGCAAAGAAAAGAAAGCGGGGGTAGCAATACTTATATCAGACAAAATAGACTTTAAATCAAAAACTGTAATAAGAGACAAAGACGGGCACTACATAATCATAAAGGGAACAATCCAACAAGAAAATATAACACTTGTAAATATCTATGCACCCAACATAGGAGCACCTAAATATATAAAGCAATTATTAACAGACATAAGAGGAGAAATAGACAGTAACACAATAATAGTAGGGGACTTTAGCACTCCACTTACACCAATGGATAGATCATCCAAACAGAAGATCAATAAGGAAACACTCACCTTAAAGGACACATTAGACCAGATGGACTTAGTAGATACATACAGAACATTCCATCCAAAAACCACAGAATACATATTCCTTTCAAATGCCCATGGAACATTCTCCAGGATTGATCACATATTAGGCCACAAAACAAGTCTCAATAAATTTAAGAAGATCGAAATAATACCATGCATCTCTTCTGACCACAAAGGTATGAAACTGGAAATCAACTACAGAAAGAAAACCAGAAAAGCCACAAAAATGTGGAGATTGAACAAAATGCTACTGAACAATGATTGGGTCAATGAAGAGATCAAAGAAGAAATCAAAAAATTCCTGGATCAACATACATAAATCAGTAGCATTTCTATACACTAACAATGAACTAACAGAAAAAGAACTCAAGAACTCAATCCCATTCACAATCGCAACGAAAAGAATAAA